AAACAAAAAAGCGATAGAAAAACAGCACAATCAGTTCAGAAGGGCTGTGGCCAAGATGGACTGACATGAACAGGAAGGCTCCCGAGCCAGAGGAATGGAGGTGACAGTGGCTTTTTCTGTGGGCTGGCAGCAGTGAGAGGTGGGAGCTGGGCCCTTGGATGGCTCAGCACCTGGAATGGCATCTTGGCCGTGGTGGCGTGTCCATTGCCGGCAGTGGGCACTGCACTGGGTAAAAATGGCTCTTGGTGTTGGTGGGAGTGCCTGGAATACAGACACTAATTTGTGAACTGAATCCAGAGGGGACAAATGGAGATGAACAGTACAGTCCTCTCCCCTTCTCTTCCCCCAGGATACTCTGGCGAGTTTGTCTGATTCAGGGTTGTACACAATCAGCTGTGAGCTGGTTGGGCATTTTACTGCTTCTCTAGAGAACGAGGAAAGGGTGAATAAAATAATTATTAGACTGAAGAGTTGTGCCACCCCCCCGGGGGTGGGATGTTCTTCCAAATGCCACGAGGGTGGGAGAGGGGACCTCTGCTGCTCACTTGGCTTTTCCTCGATAAAAGACTGGGAAAGGGGTTTGTCTCATATGTGATAATGCTTCAGTGTTTTGGCTGAAGTCCTATCAAAGATTTATCCACAGGGTTGGAGATTTAGGAGAGGACAGGGTGGTTATACAGCACTTGATAATTAAGGGGTTATCATAAGTTTCCATGTGTCCTGTCACTGTTTTTTAAGGAATCTGACAAGGTCTGAGTGGAGAAAATATCCTTGCAGTCCTGTGTCCGTATTAAAAACTGAACTTCCATTCTGTTGTAGCTGAGGAGGAGGACAGGATCTGTCCTTGGAAGCAGGTTCTGCATAGCAAGGTCATGCTGCTTACTGTGAGCCCTGTGGTATGTGGGGCCTCTGGGCATGTTGGGCTGAGGAGAGAGGTGTTTGCTGGGCTTCCCGAGTTACCAGAAGTAACCTGAAGAGAGGAGAGACCCCTGAGCTGTGGTGGTTGTTCTCCATCTCATCTGAGAGAGCTTCCTGCTGCTCCGTGTGACCACAGCTCAGCGCTGCTGCTCTGTGCAACACCAGCTGGTCAGTCCCACCGTTCACCTGGTCTGGCTGTGGCTGAGCTCAGAAGTTGTGAGCACTTCCAGAAAGTTTTCTGCCTTCCCAGCAACTGCCACTGCGATGTTCTGCCTGGGATGGTCATCCTGGGGTCCTCGCTGATGGTTTTGCTGTAGGTAGGGAAGAGTTGGTGCAGGTTGGCTTTCCAGGGCAGGCTTGCAGCACTCGTCTTGTGCCAGTCCTGTCATCCTTCAGCACTTCAGCCTGTGCTGCCCATGAGCTTGTGGCCGTAAAACCTGTCACCTTGGGATAAGAATCTGTGTCTCCAGAAGGAAAGCAGCTTTGTCGCTGTTTCCAAATTGAACAGCTTTGCGTCGGTGCTCAGTTCAGCCAGAATGGTCCTTAATGTAAGGAGAGAACTCCCTTCCCAAAGTGATTATGGATTACTGGATTTGTGAGCAAGGGCAGCAAAATGTCAGTTAAAGCCCTTTGCCTTGATTTGTCTGTCAGGATCTCTTTAGCTCTGCAGTGTGGTGGGCAAGGAGAGAGCTGTTTCCTGTTCTTGCACCCAGGCCACACCTGATCCAAGAATGTCAGGGAGAGAGTTTATCTGAAAAACGCAAGTTTATGTTGTTAGTCTTTTTCTTCCTTCATGAGAAGAGTATCTTGAAAGCAGAACGTAACTGTTTACCTGAGACTGAACTTTATGTTCTTCTGTCTCTCTTCTGGACTTGGACACATCACAGACCTGCCCCAGAGGGATGAGGTGATGGGATGGAGATATTTGGATCTGGAGTTATTTATTGGAGTTACTAGTCAGGATGGTAATGCACAGCCAGCTCTGAGGACACTGGTGAGAAGCTTGTGCCTCTTTATCATTGTACTTGACAACAGAACACGCTGTAGAGGCTGTGGGTGGTGCCTTAGAGGTGCCCATGGGGCAGGAGCGAGTGCTGGCATCAGCTGTTCCCCAGGAAATTTCAGATGATTTACCCAAAGGGGAGATGGTGAAGCACATGGTGGTGGCTTGTAGCATTTCTAAAAGCTTGTTCTTCTCTCTGAGCTTAATCATGAGCTCTTAGTATTTTGGGAAGGATCTACCAAAATTTGATGTTTTGATTTCTGTGTGATCGCTCTTGATATAATAATGGATTCAAGAAAAGGTCTTTCTGTCTTTGAGATTAAATTGGTTGAGAATTTACGTGTTGCTCTAAGCTGAAACTTTTGCTGTCAGATGGAACATGGGGATAAGTTTTTCCCCAGTATGAATGTCAAAGATTTAAAGCAGGGTATTGGTTTATTTTGGTTTACTTGTGAACAAAGGGTGTGAAGTCCGGCATCGTCAGTAGGAGGAAGCAAGAAATGGGTTTTTTGGGTTTGCTTTTTTCTTTGTGATACTGATGCTTCTGGTTGCTGTAAACACTCCTGGAGGTTGGTGTTCTGCAGCAGGAAAGAAGAATAAATTCCTCCCTTAGCCAAAATCAGGGAGATGTGATTTTGGCCTTGCGATAATTTCTGCCCTTTTGGCAGCTGTCGTTGTTTTGCTTGAATACAGAACCCTGAGAAATTTTAGATTGTAACCATTGGAAGGGAAATGAGGAGCAGCATCCACGTGCCAACAGGGTCTGCTTGAATCTCTGAAAAATAACATGGTTTGTGAGGCAGGTGCTGTGCTCTGTCAGTGAGGTTTTCATGACACCTTCTGATCCTTGTTCGCTGTGCGCGCTGTCATCCGCTGGCCCCAGATGTTACACAGTGGTTGTGTTGTGGAGATTGGTGATACCAGAGCGCCTGAAGCACAGAAATCAAGAACTAATTAAAGAGAGAGCACCATCAGCCATCTGCTATTCACCTCCTCCCCCCTGAGTCAGCCCTGGGGTGGAGGAGACACTCGAGCCGGCTCCTCTTCCAGCAGCTGACGAACTGGAGTGTGTCTTGCCAAACAAACTTCAACTGAAAAATACTAATTTATTAAGAAGGTAATTTATTTGCTGCGGCAGCTGGAGCAAGATGCTGGAAACAGACACCCCTGTTGGAGCTGTCAGAGGATGCCCCTGGGAGCTGCTGCACAAATGGAGGTTGCTAATGAGCAAACAGAACGTTATCATGACTTTCTACTTGTATCCCCCGGGGTCAGATCCCACATAAAGCAACATTGTGTGAATAAAGATTTTAATAAAGCAACATTGATGGATTGTTTAAGTCTTTCTCTCCCTCCCCTGTCTGTCTCTCTCTTGTTCCAACATGTGGGCTGAATGTTTAAAGTGTTTTGCTGCTGATGTTTCCCAGTTATTCCTTCGCTGATGGTTGTCAATGGCCTTTATTCCAGTTGTGTATATCCGAGAACGGGGTCAAACATTCAGGTTGTTTGCAAGAGCCTTATTGGGAAGGGAAGAAGAGTGTCCCAAAGGGATACAGAAGAAAAACACACCTAGATTGGAGTGGTTTTCTGACAGTGCATCCCATGGCCCTGCATCTGCCAAGCACCTGGGTTGAGTCCTTGGCTGTATCCCCATAGCTTGGCTTCGTTACATGGAGCAAGAGATGGATATGGAGTTGGCAAGAGATGCTTGCAGAGTTGGCAGGTGTTCATGGTTGGTTTTCCTAAGCTTTTATTGAGACAGAGCAGGTAAACAGCCCCCAAAATCTGCTCCCACTGAGTGCAGAGGTTTACTCAGAGTGTGTCAGAGCTTGTTTTCTCAGTACCCCACTAGTGAGTGGGAGGCAGGAGGTGATGCAGTTGTGGATGTCAGGGGTCTTTGACCTGCCCTGTAGCATCAACGTGGTTGTGTGGAACCTGCTTTTCTTTAAACTGGAGTTTCTCCATTGAAACTCTGGACTTCAGCATTGTTGAATTCTGCAAGAACTGGTTTTTGGGGTTTATTTTGGGGGTTTTGTGGGGGAGGATGTTCTGGGTTTTTTTTGTTTCCTAGCATTGTGTGCTGGCAATAACTTTTCTTATCCTCCATCTCTGTTCTTGAGCTTTGCTCTGGGAATGGGACAGGATTTTTGCTTGTGTTTGAGCACTTCAACAGCTACAGATGCTTTTAAGGCTAAAATCACCACTTCGGAGAGCTGTTGTTCCAAGCACTTTGTTGTGCTGTTATGTATTTTTAGAGTGGTTGGCCTTAGTAACAGGGTGAGAATTCCTTTAACTGAGAGGTTTCAAAGTGTTTCTGATTATGTAATGAATGTAATTTTACAGAAGAATGAACACAAACAACTTTGAGCCAATGGAGAACAAAAGGAGGTTGAAAATAAGCACTTTCCCTGAACTTCTCAAATTCTTTCCCTACAAATTTTTTATTGAATCTAAAAATTAGAAATGAAAAGAAGTCTTTAGTTCATATATCCCAAATGTGGGACTGGTGACCTATTCTTTCTTTGTAGAGTCAAACTTTTTAAGAGACTGGGGATAGGACTTTATGGGGAAAAAAAATGAAGGAGGGGAAAGGCCTCCCCTCATATCCTTTATTCCAGATCTTCCTTTTATTTAGTGATCTAATCCACAGCTGTTATACTGAGCTCTGGAGAGAGAGTCTTCTCCTCCTGCCTTCTGTCAGAGTGCAGCTATGGATCTGCAGAAGGAATTGCTTTATGGAAAGTAGAAGAAGCATGAAAAGATGGGTGCATGGCATTTCCCTGGGCAGTGGATACAGCCTGTATGCAAAATCCTGGATTGCAAGGTTCCCTCTGAGTGTTTGCCTGTCCTGAGCTGCACTGGGGGGGTGGAATAAGCAAGACATAACCTCATTTTGGTGGTGCTGTTTTTCTTTGTAGATGGCAGCTGTGCTGTAATAGCTGAGCTGACTCGAGAGGGTGGAGTTTTAACCAGGTGGTTGCTGCTCACCAGGACTGACTGACAAATAACCAACCATGAAGTGACAAGCTCATCCTTCCATCATCTCTGGGGACATGCAGGTCCCTGCAGCTGCCTCTTCTGCCAGACTCAGCTGAAGATGAGCAAATACTATAGTGAGGGTTCCAGCAGAGGAATCAAAAAATCCAGGTGCTTCCTAACCCCATCCTTCCCAAGGCAGGTAGGAGCGAGTTCTCCTCAGCACAGTGCGCTAGGATCTCCTCCAGACTCCTGCAGCATCCCTTCTAAAAGGGGGATAATCTCTTCCCTGAGGCCCCACAAAGGGAATTGAATTACTCAAGGAGGGTAATTCCTGCCCCCACAACACTTCAGTGCCTTGTTACCTGCAGGGGCAGGTCAAACAGGGAGTAGTTAGGATCATAGACTCTTGGAGTGGTTTGAAGATCATCTTGTTCCACCCCCTGCCATGGGCAGGGACACCTCCCAGTATCCCAAGTTGCTCCAAGCCCTGTCCAACCTGGCCTTTAACCCTTCCAGGGATGGGGCAGCTTCTCTGGGCAACCTGTGCCAGGGCCTGTTGAACAACTGGTTTTATTTTCCCTTCTAGCTCTTAACGATGTGCAGCACTTGGGCCGGGCTGACATCCCAGGAATCATTCCCTGGTACCGTGGAGCTGGAGCAGTGTTGGACAGTCAGTTTATCTTTCATAATTTTCTTTTTTGATAAGCTCTCTTCAGTTAAAGCACTTACCCTGGGAGGTCAGAGTTTGAATGTTACAGCTATGAATTTTTTTATAAATGTACATAAATTCTTCAGGTGCTTCAACTAGTTTTCAGGAAGGCTGGCAGCAGTTTAATTTGCTATGGCTACAGCAAGTTTAATTTTTTAATTTTATTTTATTTTTTTTTTTAGTATGCTGCACTGGTTTTAGTTCTGTTTAAGTTACTGCAACTGGTGTTCAGATTGTAGCCTATTTTTGAAGCTGGAGGGGGCAATTTTGTTAATCCCAGTATTTTTAATGCCATTGTGTAATATTTGCAGCCACCTGTAGATGGTGATGCATTCCATGCCTGGGCTGCATCCCCTTTCCCATCCACTGGTACCAGGGAATTTCCAGGCTGGATGAATTGCATTTATTATCCCCCTTATTTTTATTTTTCTGAGCATGTGGGATACCCTTGAAATCCTTTCCATTTCCAAAGCATCCTGGCCTTGTCTCAGTTAGGATAAGTTGTGGGTGACCTTGTCCTGCTGCTCAGTAATTGTGGAGGCCTCAGTTTCTTACAGTAAGCCAGCAGTGGGTACAGCTTAAGATAAAATGCAAGTTTTATGGGGTTTATCCACTTTTTGTCTTCCTCCCACAGCCAAGTGTGTGTGTGTACGCATTTTCCAAATGAAAGCCAGGGATTGCATGGGATTCCAGGATCCCCTGCCAGAGCACAGTCAGCCCTAAGGAAGCAGTTCTGCTTCCCTGTACAGGAAGGGGTTTACCAATGGTTGGAGAAGATGGCAGGAGGAAGCTGGATGTTGGTGATGAGCTTGGTGGTGGCCGTGAGTTGTACCTGTCCCAGAGCTCTGATCTAATTCCTGAACAGAACTTGGAGCCCAGCAGGAACAAACACAGCCCAGTGTAGCTCCTTGTGCTGCCAGGCTGACTCACCCTCTGCCTCCTGCTCCCTCGTTTATGCCCGTTATTTTGGTATCCCCTTGGAAATGGCTCTAATGAACAACTACCGCTGTCTCTTGCGTCTGTGGCAGCAAAACTTCAGCTGAGCCCTTGGGCTACTTAAAAAACAGATTATTTGCCTTCCTCAGGCACTTATATTGCCGGTGCTGCAGCTCTGTGGGAGCAGCCTGAGTTGGACTCGATGATCCTTGAGGGGTCCCTTCCAACTCGGAATATTCTGTGCAATCAGAAACAGGTACTCTGTGAAACCAGGCTGGTAGCGGTGCCCGGGAGGTTCCCTGGGCATCTCTCTAGCTCCTGCCTCTCCCGGCCAGGGTTGGCCGGAGCTGAGGAGGGGCCGGAGTCCAACAACCCTGGTGCGGAGCAGGGACCGGAGGGTGCCGGTGGCTCCGGCCGGGGCCGGGTTTTGGGGTGTCCCGGTGGCCGTGCCGGGTTTTGGGGTGTCCCGGTGGCTGTGCCGGGTTTTGGGGTGTCTCGGTGGCCGTGCCGGGTTTTGGAGTGTCTCGGTGGCTGTGCCCGGGCGGGTTTTTGGGTGTCCCGGTGGCTGTGCCGGGTTTTGAGGTGTCCCGTTGCTGGGTTTTGGGGTGTCCCGGTGGCTGTGCCCGGGCGGGTTTTGGGGTGTCCCGGTGGCTGTGCCCGGGCGGGTTTTGGGGTGTCCCGGTGCCGGGTTTTGGGGTGTCCCGGTGGCCGTGCCCGGGCGGGTTTTGGGGTGCTGGCGGTGCTGACCCCGCCCCGCCGCGTTTGGGCAGCGCCGCCCATCGCGGGCGGGAAGTGAGGTCACGGCTGGAGGGAGGCCGGGAGCCCGCGGACAGACCCCGCAGAGCCGAGCAGGGTCAGCTCCCATCCCCTGGGACCCCCGAGCCATGGCCGTGGGCCAGGACGGGCCCCCGGCTGGGCTGGGGCTGGGCTGCTGCGTCCTGGTGGTGCTGCTGCTGCTGGGGGGCTCGGGCAGCCCGGGGACACCGCCACCGCCACGGGCGACATGGGCAGAGCGGCAGGGACACGCTGGGGAGGGGGCTCCGCGGGGCAGGGCGAACTTGGAGGGGTACGAGGCCGTGAAGAAGCATTTGGGAGCCGTGGGTGCCCTCTCCAAGCAGTACTGGCAGTACCTGGCGTGCAAGGTGTGGCAGGAGGGCTGCGAGGAGGAGAAGGAGGAACAAAAAGAGCCCGGTCCCAGCCCAGGTAAGCACCTTCCTCCGTTCTCTCCCGTGCCCCAGAATGAGCACCAGGTCCAAACACCCAGCACGGGGGTCTGTGCCCCCAGCTCCTGTGATGGTGCCTTTCCCTTCTCGAGGGTCACTGCCCTGGGCATCTCCCTCCTCAGTGTACCCCGGGTTGCCACAATCATGTCTTGCACCTGCTGGGCTCTTGGTGCCAGCTCGAACCAGGTGCTGCCTGTTCCGAGCTGATTGTCCCTCCCCGCAGCCAGGGCTGAGTCCCTGCACTTGGGAGAGGGCTGCCCTTCACAGGGTTCAGCTGGGTGTCTACTCAAAATGCAAAAAAAAGCAACTTGCTGGAACATCTCTGCTCAGACCCTGTTGCCTTTTCCAGGCTGGAGCTTACCTCTGGTGGGCCAGGATTACCTGGAGATCCTCTCTGCCTGGTACTGCAGCTTTGGCAAGTGCTGCGAGACAGGAGACTGCAGGATAGTCAACAACATCACAGGTAGGGGCTGTGTTGGCTTTGTTGTTTCTTGGTTTTGTTTTTTTTCTTTAACAAGAAGTGTACTTTAGCAAGTGATGTAAGTGAAGGGCATTTCTGAGCAGGGTGCTGAGCTGTGGGAGGGCGAGGGGCTGAGCTGAGTCCTGTGTCCCATTACTTATTTGTAGTTCCGAGACTAGAGGGCCTTTGTCCCTTGCTCTGCAGTGTACCTGCTCCAGTTTGCTGCGAGCTCTGCCTGCATCCCTGAACTCCCAAGCATATGTAGGGGGATCCAAACTGGCCTGGGACCCTGCCCCAGGCTGGGAGGGTACACCCAGACCTGTGTGTTAGCCATGGGCAGGTGTCATTGTGTTCTGCTGTCCCTGAGACTCCTGGTATCCAAACCCTCTGCCGGAAGCTCAGGAGGGCCTTTGGGCATTGGTGCTCTCCACAGCTGCCAAACACCTCCGCCTCTTCCTGAAGGAAAAAAGGAGTCAGTGGAAATTTTGTGTCTTTTTGGGGCCAGAGACTGATGCAGGCAGGGCACGGGCAGCCTGTGGCTTTATTGCCTCTTCAGACTCCTCTTGGCCAAGCAGCCCTGCCCCGTTTTGTCTCCTTATTCCCACCTGCAGCAGCTGGGCTGGCAATTTAAGGCTGAGCTGCTGCTCTCTCTGTGCAGGGCTAGAGGCAGACCTCAGTGAGCAGCTCCACGGGCAGCACTTGGCCAAAGAAGTGGTTGTTCGGGCAGTGCAGGGGTTCCTGCAGAGCCCACAGCCCAAGAAGGCGCTGGTCCTGTCCTTCCATGGCTGGTCTGGCACAGGGAAGAACTTTGTGGCCCGGATGGTGGCCAGTCACCTGTACCGGGATGGGCTGAGGAGCGACTGTGTCAGGGTGTTCATCTCCCTCCTCCACTTCCCCCACCACAAGTACCTGGACTCCTACAAGGTGAGAGCCAACAACACAGTGTGTCCGTGGGGATGGTCCAGTGTGCCGGGCTGGGATGGGATGGAGTTCATTTCCTTCATGGCAGCCCACACAATGCCATGAAATTTGGGATTGTGAGTGAAAGTGTTGATACACACCAGTGTTCTGGGTACAGCTGAGCAGTGCTTGCACAGCCTTCAAGGCTTTCCCCTTCTCCCACTCTGCCCTTGGAGTCGGTTAGGCTGAGAGTGCACAAGAAGTTGGGAAGGAGCACACCAGAGAGGTGACCAAAGGGATATTCCATGTGATTTGGGTTTGGGGCAGGAAGCCATTGCTCAGAGACTGGCTGGGCACCGGTCTGTTTGTGGCAGGTGTGGGTGGCTGCCTTTGCACCACTTCATTTCTTTCTTTCCTCTCTCCTTCACTTATTAAACTGTTTTTATGCCTCACTCGTTTTCCTGCCTTTGCTCTCCCTGTTCTCTTCCCTGTCCCGGGTAGGAGGGAACCAGGGATCAGCTGTTTGTTAGCTGCCAGCCAGGGTTATCCCGTGGCGTCCTGGCTCAGTCCCACGGGCTCCTGACCCCTGTCCCTGCTGCTCCGCAGGCCCAGCTGCAGAGGCAGCTCAGCGAGACCCTGCAGCTCTGCAGGCAGTCCCTCTTCATCTTCGACGAGGCCGAGAAGCTGCATTCCAGCCTCCTGGATGCCATCAGGCCCTTCATGGCTCCCTACGGCAACGAGGGCCAGGCGGACCAACAGAGAGCCATCTTCCTCTTCCTCAGGTGATTTCTGGGCCCCCAAAGGGATGGGGAGGAACCAAGTGATGGAATTAATCCCTTGAGGTGTGCAATATGAAGGGCCCAGGCTGCAGGGGAGGGGGACAGATGTCTTGTTCCCACAAGGTGGTCGTCTCCGTGGTCAGTTTTGCCTGCTGATGCTGGGTGTCCACCCTGGGAGCAGGGCAGTTGTAGGAGGAGCTGAGGTCCAGCTGAGCTGGGACACCTGAGCCAGCATCTGGGCTTTGAGACAAGGAAGCAGAGTGAAGGTCAACATGGTGTCACCCTGCCCGGCTGAGCAGGAGATGTGACACTGCAGGGGGCAGAGCTGGGGCTGCAGGTCTTGGTGGGAAGTTCCTGTGCTCTGCTGGGAGGTGGGGAGTTCCCACTGCCTGGACATGGCTGCTGGCGGAGGTGCTGTGAGGGCTGATCCTGGCATCAGCACATCCTGGGCTTTACTTGGTTCCTTTCCCATCCAAAGGGAGAAAGGACTCGGGCACGTGCGCACCCCAGTGCTGTCCCTGCCCAAGCCTAGGTGGGATGCAGCTGGAGGGAGAAATGGGACATCCCAGAGCCAAGATGTGAGGCAGGCACCTGTCTAAAGTAGCCTCTGAGGAATGCCATGGAATGACCAGCTTCTTGGGCTGCCTCAAATTTTGGAATTGCAGCCTGCAGCTTGGCTCTGGCAGGAGCTGTTCCCCCTGCCTGGAGGTGGGCAGAGCACTCCTCCACCCCCCACCATCCAGGCAAGTGCTCTAACCCCCAAGCTTGGTGGTTCCCTGGGGAGGTTTCCCTGCCTGTGGAGGAGCTGTCTGTGTGCCCAGTGCCTGTGGAGCTGACCCTGTTCCAGTCCCCCCTGCGTGGGGCTCTGGCAGGAGCCCTGGTGAAAGGGCAGGTCCTGCCCTGCTGCTCGGCACAGGGTGAACATGCTGTTGGCTGCACTGGGCTGACCTCGTGTCCTGCTTGGCAAAGCCATGAAGGTCAGGAATGGACACGTCACGGCCCTCGTGCCACCAAGCAGTGGGAGCAGGGGGCCTTGAACTGCAGCAGTGTGTAATCCCAGGGGTTTCATCATCCCTGGTGGCAGTGTGGTCACTGTCATACTGACCTGTTGAAGGAGGGCGGGCTCTGCTCCAGGGCTCCCGTGGACACTGTCATGGTCCTGCAGCTTTGGCCAGGGGCGGGAGTTGAGGATAGGATGGGACTGGCTGCCTGTCCTCAGTCAAAGGGGGCTGTTTCTCCCGTGCTCTGGGTGGGAGCAAGATCAGTACAAGCTCTTCTGCCCTTAACAAGGCAGCAGGGGGTGGGGAACAGTGTTGGCTTTTTAATTTTGCCTCCCCTCCATTTGGGCTCCAGAGCCTCTGACATGAGAGGAAAGGATGCGTGCAAGGTCTGTGTCTCCCACAGCCTCCCTGCCTCCCATGCACACAAGCTCTGCAGCCAGCTGGTGCTTCCATCATATACCAGTGGTTCCCAGTATCTCCAGTTAACTGGGGCACTCAGGGCTGGGAGCAAACCCCTCACCAGCCTGACCTGGACCTGCTTCTCAGGGTGAGGGGCTGCCCTGTGACCCTCAACAGCTGTCAGGACCTCTCATCCCCCAGGGCAGAGCTGCCCCTAAGGTGGGTGTCCAGAGGAGTCCTTATATGGAGACTGCTGCTGCTTTATCCCAGGGCAGGGGATGCTTTGCCAACTCCTGGGCTGCTGCCTGAATCCCTGCCTTTGCTTCCAGTGGGCCTCCTCTGTGTGCTCTGCCCTTTAACTTGGACTTTCATTGGTGGTTTGTTGGCAGTTCAGTGTGGGTCAAAGTGCCACCTGTGAGGTCAGTGGCTTCCCAAGCCAGGACAGGGGACTGAGGGAGATGGAGAATTCTGCTGCCCCTGGGTCTGAGCTGGCAGGATGGCAACAGCTGTATCAATGCCTATGGAAAGGGGCTCCTTGGGAAGAAGGCTGGGTCCATGTGCTGATCCTAGACAGTGAATCCTCCGTTGCTAACAGAGGTGCTGGGGCCTGGCTCTAGGGGAGCTGCTGGCAGCTCTCAGCAGTTCACCTCTGGGGCCACACTTGAGTGACTTCCCTCTGTGTCCACAGCAATCTTGGTGGAAACACCATCAATGAGGTTGCCCTGGACTTCTGGCGAGCCGGCCGGGCCCGGGAGGAGATCTCCATGGAGTTCCTGGAGCAGCGGCTGCGGCTGGAGCTGCAGGAGCCTGCAGGTTAGAGCTTGTGGCATGCTGGGGGTCGTTCTGCTTGCAAACCTGCCCCTCTGCACCTCCCACCCAGTGTGTGCCACACAGGGCTGGGCACTGGGAACAAGCCTTCACTCCATCCCCAGCCAGGGGGTTATTGGCAACGTGAGCCCCTTGGACCCCGTGAGCACAGCACTGCTGTGATAGAGAGCATGTGAGGAGGGAGCTGAGAGCCCTTCTGGGCCCCCTTGAGCCCCAAAAATGGCCAGGGAGAGGCAGCCCAACACCAAGGCTTCTCTGGGGCTTCAGGTGTCTCTTGGCATGAGCTGTAGGGACACTGTGCTCAGGCCAAGTGCTGACCAGCTCTGTACAAGTGGGTGTTTCTCTCCCACAAACATAGGGCTGGATGAGCCCCTCGGAGCCAAGCCTTGCCTTGCAGAGGGGTGATGCTCTCAGGTGAAGCTTCTGAGTTTTTGTCTTGTGTTCTGTTCCAGAGAACAGTTACGCCCACAGCCACCTCCTCAGAGAGAACCTCATTGACTTCCTGGTGCCATTCCTGCCCCTGGAGTTCCACCACGTGAAGCTCTGCGCGCGGGACGCCTTCCTGGCCCGGGGGCTTCCCTTCTCCGAGGCCACCCTGGACGCGGTGGCCAGGATGATGGTGTTTGTCCCCAAAGAGGAGAAGCTCTTCTCTGCACAGGGCTGCAAATCTGTGCCCCAGCGCATCAATTACTTCCTTCCTTGAACACCAGGTGGGACTACACATGTGCTGGAGGTGGTTCTGCACTCTGGGAGCTGCTCCCCTTGCACAAGGTTGGACACACAGGTGACCCAGCCAGGCACTTGCACAGGGACAGAGACTCAATCCCTCCTTACTCCAAGGGCTGTTGCAGGGAAGGAGGTGCATCCCACCCAGCTTTACTCCTGGGACGTGGGGACAGCCTGTGCTTGGCTGTGTTTGGAGTCTGTCTGGTGTTTTAAGTCCCTTTTAGGTGGCAGTGGCCTGAAGGGGAGATTGGGTTGTGCTGACAAATGCTGTTTCATGTGAGTGGGGACTGGGAATATCCAAGTTCTTGGTTTGTTGCCATGTGGTGAAGGCAGGCCTGGGGCAGGCTGGTCCTGTTGAGACAGTGCAGCAGAAGCCACGTCCTCGTCCCTGTCCCCAGTTCTGTCACTTTACAAGATCACACAGAACTGTTTTGCTGGAATTAAATTTTTCCCTCTGTTGCTCTCGTGCCTTCCCAAGGTGTTTGCTGCTCAGGGACACCGATCATGTTTGTGCATGGAGAAGAGGACTGAATAATCTCCTCTGGAGATGCCAAATCCATAGCTTCTCACCTCGGAGTGTCCACCTCTCACTGGAGTCTTCCATTGTATGGAAGCAGTGCAGGGATGAGGGGAACTTCTGCTGCAATCATTTTCTAAGCAGTTTGGTGAAGGGCCCTTTTGCTTTACTGCAAAATGAAAAAGGGGAGAGAATTTCTCTGCCAGGGGCAAAGGGCCGGTGAGCAGGATGGTGGCTGAAGGAACAGGCTGTAGGTGAATCCGGGATTTCACGGATGCAGGAAGCTTGGGTTTTTTCCTTTGTTTTTCATTTTTCTCTTCTTTATGTTTCATGCTGTGGTTTTTTGGCTGGTATCAGCATTATTATTACTATTACAAGGGCCTGTTTGCTGTCTGGGTACTCGCCAGGTGATAAGTGTGTTACAGCAGCTCCAAAAAATTTCAACAGTGTTACAGGAATCACTTTGTGACCTCTGGGTCAAAACTCCCTTCCAACAGAGCTGTGCTGGCAGTGAGTGAAGCAGCACATGCTTGGCTTCCCAGCTACTCCCACAGGGGACCTTTGGTCTGTTTTAAGCTTTGACCTGCTTTGTGGTGCCAGTGAATGAGCAGCACGACCTCTGGGAAAAGATTGACCAGACTCACTTACGAGTCCTGCAGACTTTGAGTCCGTGTTTCCCTCCGGGCACGCTGGCTCTGTTATCTAACGAGGCTTCATAGTCCAAGGCAGGAGGATGAGCCAGCTGCTTTCCTACTTGGTTTGAACTTAGCTCTTGTCTGGAGCGGACCTTAGGGTTGTGCCCTGCGTGTGTGATCAGGCATTTCTGAGACTTGGTTTATGGTTAATCACAGGTGTCAAAAATCTGGGAAACATCAGAATCCTGGAATGGCACTTTGAGAAGGGAGGATGCTGTCCCACAGGACACAACTTGGGTTGTGTTTTATCACCTGAGCAGAAAGTTTAGCAGGTTGTTAGTTGAAGGTTAGTTGCTCAGAAGGTTGAGTAAAGCCAGGATAACCTGGGATTCTTTTTTAAATATAAAAAAGCCTCCAGCTGTCCGGGTTAGGCTGACGCTGCCTGGGGTGGCAGGAAGTCAGAGTGAATGTCTCACTGGTGTGAGGTTGGCATGTGGAGCAACTCTTGCTGTGGTGGTGGTGTCACTAACGAGGGTGATGCAAGACCTGTCTCTGCCGGTCATGTGTGCGTGTCACAGTTGAGGGAGCTTTGGTTACACAACCCCAACAGCCACAGCCGTTCTCTGACCATGCCGTGGCAATACTGTGTGGTTTCAATGACATAAATAAAGATACTGTGGGGTTTTTTATTTGGTTTTTTTTTTTTTCAATCTGGCAGAATCCAATTCTCTTTTTAAAACAGGCTTACAACAATCTTCTCTTCCCTACCCAGTTAGCAAACTTCAGCTTAGGACTGAGCAGCTTCAAATATCACCTAAGGAAAAAAAAAAAAAAGGCAGCATCTACTCAAGTGGTTTTTGCCAATAAAATATTGCAACCTTTATTTAAAATAAAATGCAAATTGGCAAAACTTTGTGGAACGACAGGCAAAGAGGCCCTTCCAAGGGCCTTATTTACATCAAGTTTAACACTGTTCGCAGTTCACAGTCAGACAATAGTGAGAGAATTAAATTAGAAAACCAACCAAAATATATTACAATAACAATTAAAAAACAAGACCAGTTGACAACACTGGTAGAGTGATTGGTGATTAACGTGTTCAATTTTAATTAATTCCTGCCCTCAACGAGTTCACTACCGATACAACCAACGTGCCGGGCCGAGCCCATCGGCCTCACAACAGACACATGGGGAGAACAACCTCCTTTGGTACAGACATTGCTCAGTTGTCCCAGAACCTCTTGTTACCTGCCTCCAGGGAATGGGCTGAGGGGCTTGTTCTACACTCCAGGGAACTGCAGCATGATCCCAGTGCCACCGGTGCAGGACAGTGCTGGTGGAGGTTTCCATGTGTGCTGCAGTCACTACCTTTCAGTACCTGCCAGCTCCCCATCAGCAGCTGGGCTGGGCTGAGTGTGTTACAAGAGGAGACAGCAGCCTGTGGGCTCTGCAACAACCATCTTCTGGAGCTGTTGGTGCTTGTCACAGCTACGGATGCCCCGGAGCCAAAGCCTGCCTCAGGTAAGTGGTGGGATGCCGGGGTCGGGATTGCTCTGTGGCTGCACAGTGTAACCCCTCCCACCCCTCATTCTCCCCCTGCCTGGTAGGGAGGGGCTGCTCTGTGTCCCCCCCCTTGCTGTGGGGTTTAGTTCCTGCTGCCCACAGAGCATGGTCTGCCCCATAAGTCCTGCATAAACCCACGTGGTGGATGTCAACATGCACGTGTTGGACTCTGTGTCACTGACACGAGGCCAGTGGTGCTCAGGAGGAGCATCCTGTGTGAGGGGGACAAGGACAGCCCTCCCTCCCTGTTGTGTTCTGCAACAGCAACGCTGCTCCTTTCAATTCCCCTTTCCCAGTGGCTAAATTTGGTGCAGTCCCACACCCAGACTCTTGGCTCAGCCTCACCGCTGTCCACGCTAACGAAGAACATGATTAAATCGAGTGCACTGCTTAGGGATCAAAAAGGGTGTACAGTGCAGGAAGAAGAGAGAATTGCACCTGTGAGTCAGCTAATTCCCACAGTGGTAGGAAGAGAAAGTGCCCCACTGAGCTCACTCTGTGAGCACACGCTGTGCTTGGCATTACTGGGTCTGACGTGGTGCCACCCGTGTTGCAAAGACGACGACTTTAAATTGCAGCCCATACTAGTGCAAGTGAGAGAGCCCAGCTGTGACAGTGTCCGTGCCCCCATGGCTGCCTGACAGTACTGGGGAGAGGAAACAACGGGATCCATGCCTTGTCCCCTGCCCCAAACAGTGGAGCAAGAAGCGCTCTCTGCTGGGACAAGTAACAGTGTTACCACCCATACGCTCCTTTGCAAGGCTGAAAGCAGAGAACTGGCCATAGTGGAGACCTTTAAGGCTGAAGAGAAAGCCATGCCTAGCTAAAGGAGAGGGAACAGTAACAATTTCGGGAGCAGCTGTGGAAGGAAGAACAACTGGACAGTGATTTACAGCAGAACCAGCTTCCCCAGATAGCATCCTTGTGCTATCCTGCCAGACGGCAGTTTGGGAATAAAACACTGTGGGGCAGGAGAAGCAAGAGCAATTCTGCAGCCTCTTATTTAGAGGGAAAGAACCTGCTGTCAGGTCAGCACTACCTCTGCCACCATCTACCTACCTGACATACACTGATAGGTAAGAGCAGAGAAAATGCTCTCCATGGGAGTGACAACAGGCAAATTCCCACGTTTTTCCACCACAGGAGGGATCAGCACTGAATGGGCTCCTGTGTTGGGCACTCAGGTTGTGGAGTCTCCATTCTTGGAGATACTCAAAAGCTGCCTGGACCTTGTCCTGGGCAGTGGCTCTGGGTGGCCCTGCTTGGGCAGGGGGTTTGGACCAGGTGATCTCCAAAGGTCCCTCCAACCTCAGCCATTCTGTGACTCTGGAAAAGCAGTCGGATGCTTCCCTGGCCCACTGCCCATCTCTTCTGTGGGGGAAGAAGAAACCAAGGTGGCATCTGAAAGGAAGTGGGGATGGCCAGGGGAGAGGAACCAGTGCTTTGTTGGGACAGAGCTGGTTTCTTCTGAAAGGGCTACAAGAGGAGAGTTCTAGTAGTTAGAAATTCCATATTGCTACTCTATCACTTTTGCTGGAGCTTTTCTGGAAGACTGGCATTCAGGAAAAGAAAAGGCTTCTTAAAAAAACCCCTTTGTCCTTGGCTGAGCAGCAGTACAATGATGACACTACAGCAGATGATTGTCTGCCGGGGCAAGCAAGACCTGCCCTTCTGCCCCAAAGAAAGCTCCCCTACCTTCTAAATCCTTCTGATTGTTTGACAGGCCGTGTGAAGCAATGCCACAAGCAGCCTTCCCTTTGCAGGTCACCCTTCCAAAGGCAGGTAGTTTGGATGCACACCTTCCATAAAGATGACTGAAAGAGATAAGGTAAACCACAAAAGCCCTCAGTAAAGTCTACAAGATAAAGGGTTTGGTGCTCAGCTGAGTGTGGCTGTGGAAGAGCCCCCAGGGGATCCTGGGCACGCTGGATCCCGATGCAGAACTGGACAGCACAAAGGGCTGCTTGGCTCTTTTTGTGCCCCCTCATTTCACTTGGCCAGAGAAGCTCATGTGGTCCATTGTACCTCACATGCTGCTGCTCTGCTGTGCCTCCACACACCGTGACACAACGTTGTTTGCCACAGACCAGGAATAAAAGGAGGATTGTCAGACACCAGCCCATTTCTAAAGATTTTTCAAGGCCCTGTCTCACTGTGCTCTGTGGGAAAAGCAGGGACACCCACTGAGACAGCCCAGCCTCCCCAGCACCAACAGGGTGATGCTTCTAGACAGCAGTGGAAGTGCTCACCTTCCAAAGTCACACCTGGCCCCAGCTCCACTCTAATTGATCCACTATAAAAGCAGCACAGTCACAATTTGGAAAACAAGTTTAAAGAGCATTTTAGCCAAAAATAAAAGATTTAAGGTGCAAAGCAAGCGAGATCCTCTGTCACCAACAGTGTGAAGTGAACAGCAGCATGCAGGGTGATGTTTATTTGGAGTCAGGTATCAGGCCTGTGTCCTTCCTCTCACAAACCAACAGCTGAGGTCTCCCTACTTGCCAGCACATCTGCACCTCGGGGAGTTGTCCGCAGACACAGAAGATCAGCTCTGTGAGGCCACAACAGCCTACAAACAGCACCAGGACCAAGGGAGACAATGTCAACCCCTCAACTTTGGGACTGTGAGAAGGCATCAGAGACCCAGTGGGGGCCCTTCAAGGCAGAGCCATAACTTCTGTTGTCACCTCTCGGGCAGAGGAGTGCACAGTTTATGTGCATGTTCCCTACAGCACAGCACAGGATTCTGGCCTAGCCTTTAAAATACAGGAAAAAATATATAGAGATGCTTGTGCTTCCCCTGCGTGCTGCCATGCTTTGTCACCTTTGGATGCAGGGAAGCTGGAAGTCTGCAAGACCGGTAAGGGCTAGAACAAATCCCAGGAATCTGGCACTGTGAAGGGACAGCTCCGGGGAATCCCTGTGGTGGGCAGGCCAGACTGTACTTCCTGGCTTTCCAGCTGGCCCTGCAGTGCTGGGACTGCTAAAGGAATGTGGAGAACAGCCAGGGGTGGTGGAGGCTCTGCCTGACCTACCGTGGGTCCTCAGGGGGATCAAACTGAAATGGGGAGTCAACCTGGTAACAAGTTAAAAACAATCTATAGCTTAAAAAAGAAACAACCCACCCACCCCAACAACAACACTGGCAAGTTGTGCAAGAGCCCCAAACTACTCAAAAACGACCATCAAGCAGCACCCGTGCTAGACCACTAGAAATAGGTATCAGTGAGTGAAGGCTGTGTGGTGGGGAAGGGGGTATTCCAGTGGTAAGTCTGCCCAGCATCCCTGACGCTTCTGACACAATGATGATGAGAACATGTGGTGGATGAGGTGGACAGGAGGGAAAAGGGATAGTTTCATATATTAACTAACTTTGCAGTTCTCATTACAGCAGCAACAGTGCTGTGGAAGTTAAGCCATCCAGGCTAGTGCATCCACCTCCAGCAGCTCTGAACACTGTCAGTGCATTAGACCTTCCCCCCAACTGCACGTGACCCTCCCTTGGGAACCCTTCCGGCTGCGACTGCTCGGCCGTCGGTACCAGTGGAGCCCCAGTGCTTTTCCTTTGCCTTGTTGGGAGAGCAAAGCACCCGTGAGTGCAGACAGGGCAGGATCTGTACAGCAGAGCAGCCTGCAGCCACCCCAGTACTCTGGCTGTCACATCAACCATCCTTCCCAGAGCGAGAACCTGCCATCGGTTCTCCTGCCTCTCCAAGGGAAGAGCAAGGAACTGCCTTCCCTTGCCACACCGAGCAGATCAGCCTGATTAGGTGGGGACAGATCCTCGATGTTTGCCCCTTACAGCTTTAATCTACCCTCTCCATCCCCATTTCTTTGAGATGAACCTGTAAACGTGAGGAGAACTCAGTGATCTGAGGTACTTCACATACTCAAGTATCAGTCTTTCCTTTTGAAAGCATCAGTACAGAAAAAAAGTCCCCCCCTCCCCGTGCGTGTTTCTCTTACCCAGATGGACAGTAGCTACCTTTGCACCACGTCGCTGATTTCTTGGACACATGACAATAAGTTATTAAGGACGGGGTTTGCCCCGGGAACACCAGCAGCTGTCGAGGACACCTGCAGCTCCTGCAGGCTGAGTTCCAGTTTGCTCACGGCCTCCCGGAAGGCGAATTTGTTGCGGGTGTGCGGGATGCAGTCCACGTAGCCTGAGCAGTAATCCAGCAGCTGGTGCCCCGTGTCCACCAGCTGGCTGTTCGGGGTGGGCTCGGCGATGGCGCTGGAGAGCAGATCCGCGCACTCCAGCAGCGCCTCCTTGCTGATCTTGTCTGCGGGGATTTTCTCAGCTGCCTGTTTGGTCTTTCTCAGCGCCACCTTCGCGCCGGCCGTGCCGTTGGCCATTTTCACTGGGGAGGTGGAAGACGATGACAGAGGCACTTGAGGTGGAGGCATCATGGGCCTCCCACATTTTCCACCAACAGGTGCTGCTGCTGCTGCCGCCTTCTTGCTCCCTTCACTCGATTCCAGTCCGTGCTGCGCTCCCGCCACGGGGCTCAGCTCTTCTGCTGCGTCGGAGCAGGCAGCCGGCTGCTGGAGGAGCCTCATCACTGGTGGTGGAGGTGGAGCACACTTTGGTTTTACCCGTCTGGGCCGGTCCCTGTCGCCAGAAGAAGTGACCTGATGCTCAGATAAGAGCTTAAATTTATTACCCTGAGAGTCTGTGCCAATGAGCTGCACGTCTGCTGGAGTGTGTTTTAGAGTGGGTGAGATTAGGACTGGCACTTTGTGGTTATGAGTGGTTGGAAGTATTGCTGCAGCCTTGCCTGGAGATGACCACCCCGGCCTCTCGCCATCCTCAAGGGCCCCCTGTCGTGAGCCACTGTTTTTTTCTTTTCCCTTAGGAGCTGCTGCTAGCCCTGGACCCTCCTTTTCTTCCAATGTGGAGGGAGTTCGGAAGGGGAGTGCTGTGGCACCCCTTGGCAAGAGTTTTGCTTTTGGTCTCTCTCTGGTCAAAGCAGGGCCTTCTTCAAACCTTTTGGGAAGCAGGTCATTGGCCCTCCCCGTGCTCTCATCGGGCTGAGAGGAGGTGGACACAGTCCGTTCCAGCTGAATTTTTGACCTCTGGGAATTTCTGGGAAGGGTCATTGCCATCCTATCCTGTTCTGGAAGCCCTGAGGACATGGAAGATGTAGAGTTTGACCTTGGAAAAGGCTTTGAAGCTTCTTCACTGCCAGTGGGTTTTCCTGCTCGTAAACCCAGTGTCTTTTTAATCAAGCGTGGTGTAAAGAAACCAGTGATGCCCGACCACCCTCCGCTGGTGCTCACGCCCCCACCGCTGCTGGGCCCTGTGCCATCATCGTTGTAGAAGGTCCTCTGCACAAAACCCCCTCCATAGCACTTGGGGGGTGCCAGGCTCGTGTCCTGCTGCGTGGGAGCAAAGGAGAACCCGTCCACGTGCTGCAAGGAAGCAACAGAGGAAAAGTTACCCGTCAGCTCGTATTTCTTATGGGGCTGGTTCTCCATCTCCCGGAAGGAGCTGCTGCGCTTGGGAGGCGTGGGAGCATTCCTCTTCTTCATAAAGGAGCTGAAGAAGCCGCCCTTTCTGTCCCTGGTGAACGTGGTCTCTTTGGCATCCTCCAGCAGGCTGCTGGGTGACTTGTCCCTCTGCTTGCGGGGCAGCGCAGGAGACCCAGTTGTTGGCTGTGTGCTTCGGATGAAACCTGGGCAGAAGAAACAGGTGTGAATCCACAACATCTATTTCCATTTCCAGCTCCCTGTCCTGCAGTGGGCTTTATGCACCTGGGGTATTTACCTGCCCAGCTGCTGCAGAGATAGAGTGAGAGAGGAAGTGAGCATTTTTATTTTATTTTTTCTTTAATGTTTTCCATTTCTGCGTGTGACTTGTCTGCTGCCTATACTGAGGAGGCCACTTTGGAGAGAAAGATCAGAAAAAAGTTGTTCTTTTATTCCAGTTTCTTACTCCCTTCCTGTACTTTTTCCCTCCTTCCTAAACACCATAAGTATTAAAAAAAAAAATCTCTTGTTGAATTGTCAACTTCAGTTTTGAAGCTGTCATTTAAAAGGAAGCAGCAAAACTAAATACAAAAGAAAAAAATTCAACGGGATTTACTAAAAGAACATTGAAAAAGCTGCAGTGTTTTCTGTTTGCTGGTAAATAATTGGGCTGCTGAGGTGGCCAACAGCCCTTGTGACACAGCAGCACAAAGCACCTTCCCGTGTCGTGTTGTTTGGTTTTCTTCTGTTTCTCTGGGAATTTACCCCCAGAATTTGTGGCCTCACTGCCCCTGTCCCAGTGCCCATACCTGGTGCTGAGCTGGAAGCCGAGTGCTCCACAGTCTCCTGTGTTCCTTCGATGTTCTCCTTGTTCTCTGCCTGTTTCTTCAGTGTTCTCGTCTTGGAGGGAAGAATGGGTAAGCGGGGCAAGTAAGGAACTATGGATGAGGAGGAGGCTGTTCTTCCAAGCTCCTCTGCTACCTCTGTATGGAAAAAAAAATAGAACAGTTGAAACACAGACCAGCAGAGGAAGAGGAAAAAAAAAGATCCGGGTCTTTACTGAAAATCCAGACTGGCAGGAAGAGATCCATGACTGAGAAATACATAATTTATGGATTTAGTTTTTGTTCAAGTCTAGAAGTGTTCAGGGTCAGATGTTTTTCATAATGATTTCAAACTCATTTGCATCTTTATAAATTCAGACAAAACCCCCAAGGAGTAGGATCTGTACAAGAGGTCTAATACAAATCTAGCTCTGTGCTGGGTAAAGGGTTGATGAAGAGCTAAAGCCAGCACTGAATGTATCTGCCTCTGTTTTTAATCAAGGTGCCTCCTATTGATGCTCCTGGGATCCCCCAAATTTGTGTCCTCTCTGGATCTGGATCTAAGCTGCTTTGCACTGCACCTCCCTATTGGAAATGAAGACTACATGTTTCCTTCCCAACACCAACAAAAGGTATGTGATTGGAAAAAAAAACCAAAACCAAAGAGAAAAAACCCCACAGCCTCCTGGCCACACACATTTGTGTGGCCACTGGATGTGCCTGTTATAGATCTACCCTGATAAAATTCCATCTGCTGTGTTTTTTCTGTAGGAGGGACATGGATGGATCACTTTCATATTTGATTTAAAAATTTAGCAGATGCTCAGACATTTCTGCCTGTCTGCTGAGCAGTATCACACCCCTCACCAGTATTTACCTCCTGGTTGATTGTATTTGACAGCTGAGTTGCACAGATTTGCTCCTAGAAGTAGCTAAGTAGAAAATCCAGAGATTAAGGCACACTTTTTAAAAATGAAGGCTGGGAGAATAATATTTCGTGCCCTAATTGCTGCAGTCAGCAGGGGACTGTGATATGCATTCATCTTGCTGTCTCTCTCCATCACTCACTATGGGGTAACCTCCAGTGCTGTTTCAGGAATAAAACAACAGCAGCTCTCACCCTCTGAGATGCTCGAGTCGTGGAACATGGTTTCAAAGGCCTGGTGGGTCTCAGCAAAGGAAGGTCGGTCTGGTGGGTTCCACTTCCAGCCTGCAATGTCAGAAAGCAGAGTGAGTCTCAGTGCCTGAAATGGGTAGGAGATGAATTTTTATTCTGTCCAAGGAGACAGAAAGTCAGACTCTGACCTACTGATAAGCAGGCTTTAGAATTGTTCACAGGTATTCATTCATAGCAGTCAGTCACCCTACTGTATCCTAACAAACCAACCTTGAAAAGAAGGAACCAGTTCTAAAAGTCCTAGCTCTCTGCACCCTCCACAGGTTTTTCTGCTCTCCCTTTCTCTCTTTCTGATTTTTTCTGGGCAAAGGACAATTCAAGATTTGCTACCCTGGGTGCTTGGACTGAACACATCCAGCCCAGTCACAGGTAGCTGTGTGTGAAAAGCTCCAGGTAACATCCTGCTCACATGCTCTTAATACTGAAATTCAGGCAGACCATCCAAAAGAAGGATGTGTGCACCTCGTGGGGCATAGAGGAGGAGAGTGCCTTGATCCTAGATGGAGCTTGGAAAGTTACAGAAGGGGATCATTAAGAAAAGTGTAATTTCTGTAGTTAGAACCCACACTAGAGGAATGTACTCTGGAAACACTGTCTGTTGGTATCACCAGAGAGTCTGGAAAGTGACTGGCATTCTGCTCACTTTGCATTAATATCACATGAATTCCCAGCTTTTGGGCTTTTGTCAGCTTGCTGAAGGTTTTTTTTAAGCAGTGATATCCTTCCTCACTACCCAGACTCTTTGTTTCCTACCCAAAGTCCACCCTGACTTTCTGTGACGTGCTGGGGATCAGGTATGGCTGGAGACAGGCTCTTAGATCCCTACACTATAGATCCCTCCCACACCCTCAGGCTTTGTCCCCCAAACTGGAAGAAGATACTCACATGCCCTCATGAGTTCATACACCTTGGGAGGGCACCCCTCCGGCTGCTCCATCCGATAGCCCTTTTCCAGCAGATCGTACACCTGAGAGAGGTCGATGCCTGGGTACGGTGACATTCCATAGGTAGCAATTTCCCATAACAGCACCCCAAAGGCTGCAAAAGGAGGAAAACAGAATTCCTGGTGATAAGTGTGCCCTCCTCTTGTGTTGCTCATTATGCTGTGGCCTTCACTGCAGCTTGAGGCAGCATCGTTTCCTCACAAATACCTCAGGCCAGTCTAGGTGAAGACATCACATGCTAAGAACTGATTCACGAAGTTGTGGCCAGGCATGTGACCATCTCCTGCCCACACGTTTCTGCCCAGGCCAGAAAGGAAGTTACCATCTAGGCTGGCAGAGAAAAACAAAATGGACAAGAAAAAAGCACTGAAGGTGAGTTTTCTTACCCCACACATCTGATTTGATTGAAAAGGTGTTATAGGCCAGGCTCTCGGGAGCCGTCCACTTGATTGGGAACTTGGCCCCAGCGTGGGCTGTGTAGGTATCACCAGTCATGAGTCGACTTAAGCCAAAGTCAGCCACCTTCACCACGTGGTTTTCTCCAACTAAGCAGTTCCGTGCTGCCAAGTCCCTGGACAAAGGAAAAAAGGACACTACTGCAGCAAGAGCAGGGCTTCTGAATACAGTCTGGGGTCCCACTCTCCTGAATTGGGAAGCACTCTATGAACCCAGCAGGTAAAGGCAAGGTGAGCTTTGCCCTGAACAGTGTCAGAATCTGAGGTAAGTCAGGATTAGGGTTAATTCTTTAAATTCTATGAAATTTCCAATAATCATAGCTGTTACGGTGAGAAGTTTATGTTTCCTGAGGACAGGATGAGATCAGCAGCTCATCACACACTGGTAATTGGTTTATGACATGGCTTTATCTGGATTAAAACAGGACTTGAGGTGGGCACTGTCTGGCACACAGGGGGTACAGCACAACACCAACTGCTGTCAGGCAAGTCAGGCACAAAATTATAAGTCTGCTGTGAAAGTCCTGGGGAGGAGGTACTGCAGGACAGTACTGAAACCAACAGCCAATGGATAAGTGTGAAACCTAACTCTGGAAAAAACCTCCCCAAAATCAGGAATTCCTGGGCCTCCACACTGGTGCCTGTTCATCACTGCAGTCTGAAACTGCACCAGCTCCACGAGACTTTACCCACCTGTGAATGAAGTTCTTCTTCTCCAGGTACTCCATGGCAGAGGAGATCTGGGTGGCCATGTAGAGCAGCACAACAGCACTCACTTCCTCCCGGTTGCAGTCCCGCAGATAGTCCAGCAGGTTCCCATATGGCATGTATTCCGTCACGATGTAGAAGGGTGGCTCCAGGGTACACACACCTGGCAGTGAGGAGCAGGGGAGCATGTGAATAAAGTTTCCCTTTCTTATCACTGCTCCTGATTTAATGTCCATTTTTTGGATTCTGGACCGATGAGTGTTTCTCTGAAAAGTGAAGACTTCCATCTAGCCAGGTCAATGCAGCCCAACGTAAAACTCAGTGCTTCTGTCTATTTATCTGTCCATCCACTTTATGGATAGAAAGGAACATGTCTATGAAAGTACTGCTATTCCTATATAATAGACATGAAGCAGTAGTTCTGTTCTTTGGAAGGTTACAGGATAAAATAGGAGATATTTTGAACATGTCATTTGCTTTTCTTCCTCTCCCTGCCTTGATAAAGCTAGAGTGGTCAACTGGAAGCAGGTACCTGTCAGCTGGCAAGATTTCCAGACTGAAACGTCACTACAGAGTAATGTGAAGCGCTCCCATGTGCTGGGTAAGGAATCAGCACGGTGGGACCTGCTCCTGAAGCAGCATTCTTACACATTCCTGGGATGGCTACTTGCTGCAGTCACTGTACAAAGCATGTATTGGTGGAGGAGGGGGGCAACAGGATACTCTTGTCACATCTCTGTGAACTCCCCCTGCAGCACCAAAGGCCTGTTCATACCCTTCTGCACATGCAGGAGTAAAACACAACTATGCTGAGCATCACAAAGAGCAAAGATGCAGCTCTGTGATGACAAATCTCCGAGTCTCTGCTCCTGGAACCAGACAGGGCTGGGCAGACACTTCATCTGTGCCAGTTTTTTAAATGGGTACAGAATAGTTGCCATTAGTAAGTAAAACCCTTCACATGCTTCACATTTCTCCTTTCATCCTAGGCTTGGCTTGACAGCTCCGCTCCTGAAAGCAGCAGAAGTCCAGAAGCAATTAAACACTAGTAGAGGTTTAGGGTGTCTCCTTAAGAATCTTTGTACATGTAGAATTAACAGCTATGCAGCCTATTTAATAATGATCATCATATGGTGCATCTGCCAGTGAGACAAGGGGGCTCAGCCAAGCTGTAAAGCCTGTGGATTTCTTCCAGTCATGTGGTGTTTGATCTCATGTACTTATTTGGTGATACACAGGGTCCCTCAGAGCAGCAGCGATCTGGTGTCTTCTGTTTAATTAGGGACTAATTTGTTCTCTTCAGTGCAGCCTATTCTATAAACGTCCCTCACTTGAGAAGTACAAAGAGCAGTATTTGTTGTGCTTCATATGTAATTTTTCCTTTCACTTCCAATTTTCTTACAATTTTGTTCTGTTCTCTCAGGCAAATAAGTCATGGAAAATAATTTTGTAAATTTGATTCAATAGGGCAGAGAAGGAATCTGAGCCTGATAACTGAACCCTGGAGCATGTCTGGGGCCAAGGACACAAACTAACAGGAGGATGATATTGCAAATTTTTATGTAACACAGAGTTGTGCCTCAACAGCAAAGTTGTCTACTAATGTGACTGTATTTGATGTTTTATTTAAAATTAGTGTCTCTTAGCTCCAATATTACATAAAGCTGTCAAAAATATCACCCCATAACCTGACCTGATTCAAAAAGTTATATAAGTACAGCAAAGCTGCCACTGCATTTAAACAAGATGAGATTTTGCCAAAATCAAGACTAAGTAAGAACAGAAAGAGCAACGTATGTCACTGACCTAACAACTGCACTAGATTTGGGTGCTTGATCTCCTTCATCACAGCAGCTTCTTTCAAGAACTCTTCCACCTCCATGGTATCTTCCTAGATAATAGAGAGCAAAAAGAAGGGAACATTTATCTTCATGTCCAAAGTCTGGTTAACACCACACATTCAGGCTGAATATAAATGATGGCTTCCTTGTCTCCATTCTGGTGTCTTGGCTTTTACCAAAGCAAACTGTAACAGCCCTGAAGAGCTGCCTGGCTGGCCCAGAGCACAGTGAGGTGACAGATCTGCAGTGCCCAGACAGTGCCAGACTGGCTTGTTTGGTAGCTGTTGTGTCTGGTGAAAGACCCTCAGGATCACTGACTTAGCTATAAAAATTAAGTCTGAAAGCTCCCTTACTTAGAGAGCGCACAGAATTGCAGTTGTTAATGTTGAAACAAACAGAAGGTTTTGAAAAGAAAAGACAGATGGAGATGCTGCATTTTTTCAGGAGTGGAGGAGAGGTTGTAGAAGGTATTTCCAACTCTTCTAATTTCTTAAAAGTTCCACAGGTCCTCTGGAGGAAGGGAAGTCAACCTGGTAACCATTTCTAGAGATCTGATTTGGACATGCAGTTCCTGCTGGGCCAAAATTCCAACTTGTTTCCATGCACATGCACTGGTATAAGTTTGATAAGGTACCTTTGATCTGCAAAGCTACTCTGAAGCATGGACTTAATGCAGATCAGCACTCTCCATTTTCTCATACTCATATTATTAGGTGGTGTAATTTAAAATACTTGAATTTCCTTACTCTCGTCATAAATGGTGGCCAAATGAACAGTGCTGAAAACTCACCTTTAATGTTTTCACAGCAACAGTGAGGTTGTATTTCTTCCAGACCCCCACGTACACCTCGCCGTACTGCCCTCCCCCGAGCTTGTGCTTCATGGTGATGTCAGTCCTCTCCATCTCCCACTTGTCATGGATGGGGGACACTCCATAGACAGTGGGCTTATTGCACTTGGGTGCTGGGTAGTGCAGAGTTGTCACCAGGCCGTCTGCTACCGTTGAGTGATGGTGCACGAGCTCTGCCAGGGTGCTGAAACGGCTTTCTGCTGTCACATAGACCTGGCAAGAAACAACCAGGAATCTGCTTAAATGAAAGGAGCTGGAAGCTTTCAGTAACACTGGAAAACAGGTACAGTAAAAATGTTCTTTTTAAAGAGTTGGAGAAACAGATTTTAGAACATTTGTCCTCATCTTGTTGGGCAAATGATTATTAATCTGTGGGACTTTTACTTGCAGAAGGCAGCTAGAAATAAGTTATCGCTTAAGAGCTGTGCTGCCTCCTGCCTTATGCTTTACAGGACTAGAAATTGGAATTCTTAGTCAAGCACAAGGCCTGTTTTTGCATCTCTCAACACAACATATTACTGTTTGATCTAGGTTAAAAATGCCAACTTACTTGCTCTGCTTATTTTAAGTGGACCAGTGGAGGGCTATCACCACCTCCAACCACAGCTGCCTTGCTCCTTAGATACTTTCAGCTGGGACAGGTACTGTCTGCACTTCTCCAAAGTGCTGTTTGGTGAGCTACCACCAAACTCTTGGCACACTTCTTTTCTTATATTAATAAACCAGCAGACCTGTTTTCTCTCACATCTCCCTCCCTTAACAGCCTGCAACTTGAGATTCTGCACCACCTCTTAGTTAATACCCTTATACCCTTATCTCCCCTCCCCGCAGCACTGTCCAGAGATCCTCACCTTCCCGTCCGAGGTGGTGTTGATCCTGTAGTGGTAAACACGTCCTTCGTACCTGAGCGAGATGGACAACTGCCCTGGGCTGCTCTCGCTTTCCCGCACCAGGAAGCTGCCGTTGATGAGGCTGCTCAGCAGATACTCTGCTGCACTGCGGGACACGGGCCCGTGGTACCAGGAATGCTTTTCCAGGCTGTTCACTGGCGTGATGTAGTTGCTTGGTACCCAGCCCTGCCCGTTCTTCGAACGTACCTCACTCCACTCACCATTCTGGTTGTAACCCAGGACTCGCAACTTCTCACCTTTGAACAGAAAGACAAAAGCAAAGTAAGTACAGTGCAAGCTGTTGGGTCTCAGTGAGGGAGAAACTCAGCATCAGCTGAGCCTGGGTTTGTGGCTTAACAACAAAAATCATAACTAAACTGCTGTACATCAAGTATTTATGAAGCAAAGTTTCAGACAGAATACCTATGATACTGCTCCCTAATTTACTGCAGTGAGAGTGGTAAACTCAAAAAGCTTCTTGTACTCCAGCTTTTTAGACTAGAAAGACTTTATTTGCTTGGAGGGACGAGGTTTGTCTCCTTGAAGCCTTAAATGACACAATTTGAAACACTTCTGCAGCAGGTCATATTCTGACATATGTACTGACCAGAAAGTCCCTTTGCAATGCTCAATTCTTGATTTTGTCCCAGGTGAAAGTGCTGAGTTCTGTTACCTTCCATAATGCCACCATTTCCCTCTGCCCCTCCTGATAACAGGTATCTCACAGGGCAGTGATTTGGGGAGCCTGGAACTGGAGTGGGCAGGACTGTGCTTGTCCGAGGAAAACTGCCCAGCAGGTGTCCCTCCAGCACCAGCGAGGGACAGACCGTCTGCTTACCACCATCAGTGCAGGGAACAAACTTCCCTAACTGTGCTATTCCCATTTCTATCCAGGTAAGGATTCCACTTTCTGTTTTCTGCTGCTCAGTTGCCAGGCTGGCAGCTGCTGTGTGACCCCCAGCCCTACCTTTGGTGATGCTGAGGGTGTTGTCTCCGCTTGCTACAAAATCGTAAAGTGCAACAAAGAGATTGGGGTCGCTCTCAGTGGCTCCGAGCAGGTTCTCCTTGGAGCTCCACCTGATGGCTTCGTTCAGTGCCTGGGGTTCCACATCGCAGCCGTAGGGGCGGTGCAGGGCCTCTGGGAAAGGAGCAGAAGAGACAGTTATTCTGTGTACAGCTGTAAATTATAGAATCAGGGAATACCCTGAGTTGGAAGGGACCCAAAAGGATCGTTGAGTCCATCTCCTGGCCCTGCACAGGACACCCCAGCAATCCCACCATGTGCCTGAGAGCCTTGTCCAAATGCTCCTTGAACTCTGTCAGGCTTGGGACCATGACCACTTCCCTGGGGAGCCTGTTCAGTGACCAACCACCCTCTGGGGGAATACATCAAGTTTATCAAATAGATTTAAATAGATCAAAACCCCAGTGTACAGCAGAGCAATGCTCCTACAGCATACTGTGCCCTAAGGGAAAGGGAACACCATGTCTGGACTCTTAAATCAGTGGTTTTCAATTCCACGTTGTGGACTCTTCATTCTATAGGTCCCTTCTAGGAGGGGCTGGAAAAGATGGTTAACCACCTATATACCAAGTAGCAAACTACATATATAAAATTTCTATTTATTATTTATTATATATACGTCTATTTATATACGCCTCAATTTGAAATTTTTTAAGCAGTCATATATATAAAAAATCAGTGCAAAATTAAAAGTGCTCTTTTAAATTACATGAAGCAGCGAAGGAAACCTTTCAATGACAAAATGTTACGGTTTATATCTTTATGGTTCCTATGGTGGGCGTAGACAAGCCTGGATCTGAAACCAGCATTACAGGTAAGGCTGAATTATGACACAAATTAGATGTATAAGTAACTGAGTCAATATGAACAGGAATGATGGTGACTTGTAACCTATTACAGGGCCGTGTAAATAAGAGGTGGAAAACTGCCAGGGACAGACAGAAGGTAGTACAGGTGATGGTGGGTGTTTAGCAGCAGCCTTTCTGAATACCCAGGCAATCCTCCTTTGCTGTTTCAAAGGACAAGTGATGAAAACTTGTTAGTACAAGGAAGCAGGGGGAGGAATCAGCTATGTTTGTAAACAAAAGAAAAAAAAGTCCGTACAGTTTTTGTGATGACTAAAACCAGTCTAAATGCACAGGGTTTTAGAAGGAATTGTAGTAAGAAGCAAAGCTGCCTGAACACCTTTGTGTGAGGACCCCAACTGGCTTTCCAATCCACAGAGAAGCTTTTCAGGAACATGAAGCAGAATGAACTTCAATATTAAGATGAGAAAGAGCGATGTTGGGATTTCATACACATGGGCTGCTCAAGGGAGCAAAAAACATGAAGGTGTAAAGGTATATATTTTTTCTCTGATGGCACAACTGATTTAAGTAACTGTCCCAATACCTATTTCTGAATTCTCTTGTTGAACTTATGAAATCTCTTCACAGTGTACATTTCACTTAAATGCATTAAACATAAAAAGTTCCCTTTAAAAAAAATACCTGAGGCTTTCTTTGCCTTACAGTCATTGCTCTGGCCCGTTTCTGAGGGGCTGAGAAGTCAGACCACTGCGAGAGAACATGTGCTGTGGTCACCTACCCCCTTCCCAGGCCCCCGAGATTTACACTCGTGAGCAAAAGCTGGTCTATAAGGCACTTGAAAAGAGAACAAAGAGCTCAAATCCAATACAGGACGGGAAAATTGGGAAGTCAGTGAGACACAAAACAGGAAGAGGCCTGTGCCAAGTAACAGGCAAAGGAACATGCCAAATCTGTGTCACAGGACAGAGCTCAAGCCTGGAAAATGAGGATAAGGGGGGTTTCCAGCCTCTAATGCAATTTTAACTGTATTGTAGGTACATGAGAAAGTAAGTGGTTGAAGTTTGTTCTGTTTTCATTTTAAACATGTAGCTAAGTGGCTTTTGACTGCATTTCTGGTAATTATTCAGTTCTGTTGCTTGCATAACCTGTTCATTCTGCCCTTACTTAATAACACACCTCCCAAGCCTTGCCAAAATAGCCTCTATCAAGGTTCTCCTGGCATGAACAAAAGGGACTAGAGATTAAGACACCAAAATGTCAGTTCCTTGACTGCATTGCCTGCAGATGCAATATTTACATACACTTCTTATTCCTAACTATCAACTGCAATTAGTTTTACAGTATATTAACCCATCAGACTGGGTGCTGTCATAGAAAATAAGAAATCCCAATGCTCACCCCCTACATTACAGCATAGCTGCCAACATCCCACTGTATTTTTTTAGGGCTGGGTGTGTGCATATGTATGTCCAGTTGTTAAGCTCCAGGAAAGAACACCAGTTCCTAAACCCAGCTCTCTTTATGGAGTAAAAATACATATTTAATTAAATAATACATTCTTTATTCTCCTACAGTGCTTGTGTTAGTGTTTCAGTGCCTTAAGCAAAGTCAAATGTGTTGTATGAGAACTCTGACTTAGGCATCTCTGCTAAGGAGCAAACACAAAAGTAGGCAGTTTCCAAAAAATACCCAACCTTTCAGCTCTGAAATACCTTGTTGTGTTTCAATTATGTATCTGCCAACATGTGCAAGGCTTTAAACAAAAATATAAGCATTTATTCTAAACCAAAGCACCCCTTAAGTTTCTTTCTCCAGCCAGAAACACTCACTCAGTGAGCACCCTGCTCCCCAGACAGCACGAAGTGTTTATCCATGGATCCATGGAAAGCCTGAAGCAGCCCAGTGCCAGCTCAGCTCCAGGGGTGCTGCAGGCAGCCCCTGCCCACGCTGAGCCCACTGCAGCCAAGGCAAAGCCAGCAGAAATTCCACCTGCTCTGCCCACACGGAAACACGGCTGGGGCTGGGCTGGATTGGCTGGGGGGGAGTCAAAGCAGACGTGGGACTACCATCACTTCCTCGGGAATGCCTGGGAGGCTGGCACAAGTTCTTAACACCCACCTGCTGTACAGAAAAAGCCAGCAGAAGTTAATGTTTGATGAGGAGCTTCAATCACTTAGCTACAGTGCTCACCCAAAAATCACTTTACCTAAAAATCAAACGCTTTTAAGAGTTCGTGTCTCACTAACTTCCTTCACTTTCATGTTAGAGTGACCTGGATGCTTAAATAACTGTAAAGGTTACCCAACACCTACTAAAGGGGATTTTACCAGGATATAAAAGTACCTCTTGCAAGCTATTATTCCATAATAACCACGCTGCTCTGTACAGTGTGGGATCTACACCATCCAGTACATAAGGCTGTGGAAGGTCAGTAGAACGTGATCATTGTACAGATGTCATTAAGGAAACTGAGATAACCAAAGCACATCACAAATTATGCCCCCCCAGCTGAGCAGTCTGCAAGCTCTGTCTGCACCTGAAGGGAGGAAATGAGCTGGGAAGTTCTGTTTTATCTCAGCTCCTTTTCAAGACTGACCATACATCGTGTACTATCATTTCCTATACAATGGAAAACTTACATCATCACTTAGTGTGCAAGTAAAACACGGTCACGCAAGGAGGTTACGCTTCATCCCTCTCCTTCCTTTCCTTTATTCCCACAATACAATTTGCCTCTCTCCAGATATGAATGCTTTTCCTATTCAGCCAACATGTAAGGGGTGTTTTGTCCCCCACCCCTGCTGCCAACACTTCAATTACCAATCTCTTTAATCCTACAGTAGGCGAATATGTTAAATTTTAAATTTTAGAGTCACATTAAGTGCTGAAGTGGCCTCTATTTCTGAAATACAGTGTAACTGCTTGTAGAAAAGAAGCATTTCAATAATCCTAAAATCCCAGTAAAAGCTGGCAACCTCAGACCTGCCTGTGGCTGGTCTTGTACTACAAGACAAAGATAGACTTGAAAGGACCCACACTTGAAGGAACTTTCCCACACAGGAAAGGGACAGGAGAGGATTACACCCCTGAGCATCCTACCTGAGAAGCTCCTGGCAGGCTCGGAGGCTCCCTCACCGAGGCAGCAGAGCAGCCTCCCCTCTTTGCCATAGCTGCTGGACTGGAAGAGGACTGTCCCCACGCTCATGATGTGCTTCCCAGCAGACAAGGAGGCTGTTTGGCACGACAAATCCTGGGCTGCCACTGCCAGCACAAAGGCCTCCACGAGCTGCTTGCAAGGCTGGGGCCAGTGGGAAAGGAAGTGCTCCCAGGAGGGCGAAGGAGAGACTGGGAAAATCGAGCTGTGGGTTAACGTGGTTATTAGCTGGGATGAGGGTGGAGCTTTCCAGAGAATGCTGAGCAAACAGAGGATGTGGGGACTGGGCTGCAAGTTGAAACGATTTTGAGATGAGCTACGGAGACAGAGTTTTGTTCCACTAAGAGTTAGGCAACAAAGTGTTTGGGAAGAAAGCAAACAGTTTCCTTGGAGAAATTCCTTTGCACAAATTACAACACGGATCACCCGTTACGGGGACCGCCCAGATTGATTCATTTTTCCACTCCACATAGCATTCCTGGAGCACTGCTTACGTGAATCAACAGGAGAGGATGTTAGTGAAAACACACATCTCAGAGAGGTACCAGCACTGAACACGTGAATGCTCTTGGATGTGTCAGGATTTTGGAAAGACATAGAAAGCAAGGCCCATACAGTGCACCCAGTCTGAGCTGCGTATTTGCTCATTAGTAACATTAGTAACATTAGGACAGCTCTCCAAAAGGGCCCCATCAAATTACCTCTCAAAAACCCAAGATTTGTTAGATGAATTCTTTAAAAGCCCTAGCTTTCCAGCAGAGTTGGTTTGTAGCAGCACAGACTCCTCCAAACAGGTGGACATGGGAGGGTTAACGAACACTCCCCATGGCAGTCTCTCACCTGGGAGGGTGGTGGGCCTGCAGAGGGGTATAAAAGGGGGCAGGGAAAAGGAAGTCAGGGGTTTGGTCTCTGCAGGGGGAGAGGAGCTGTTGCAGCCCACCAAGGCAAGAAAGCAGCACTTCTGTAATCCATGAACTCCGTTCTGTGAGAAGGGTAGCTGTACCACGTGATGAGGACACAAATCAGGCTAAAGGTAGGCAACCTGGCTTCTTCCAATTATTTGTGTTTTCTTAGGCTGTGGATGTGGAAAAACAGTATATGGAACTGTGGATATGCTGTGATGATGAGGAGCTGCTTTCCCCATATGGCTTGTGACAAGAGCTATTTCCGCTGCAACCAGCACCTAATGTGTGTGGAAAAATTAACTAGACATTTAGAAATACCTTAGGAAGAACAGTATGCAGGTGTCCTAAATTTCTGTGAAGTGGGTGACCTCTCTTCTTTCTCTTCTAAAACCAAAGCTCAGTGAATCCTGCAGCATGACTACCCAGTAGGCAGAGGTTGAGATGCCTTTATTTGAAAGCTCCCGGGCTTTTCTCTCTTTCCCTCTTCGTTTTGCTTATTGCAGTTTACTGTTTTCTGCCCTCTTATTTGGTCCAAGTACTCTGAATGACACTGCTACTTGCACTAAGCTTAGTGTATGTGTTAATACACAAAGAACAATCAGAATTTGTAGAGAAAGACAGCACAGCCTTAGAAACACGTGGATAAGTTTTGTGACAAACACACTTTCATCTGAAAAGGTACCAGGAAAGGGTATGCATGGATTTGTGGCTAGATGAATAGCTGTAAATAACCTTAGCTAAAATATCACATTTACTTCTTAGTTAAAATACAACAGATGAGTAATTTGTATTTGGAACAATTAAGGATTAGCAGAAAGTTAGGCTGGATTAATGTAACTTGCAAATATCCCTACCTGTCCTATCAATTTTAGCCTCTGTCAGAGGAGTCTGTAGCCAAAGCCTAATGGTTGGCTGGTGTGTTAACAAGCTCCTGATGGGAACCATGTAGTTGCCAGCACTGGCATAATGGGTGAGAAACATTAAGTTTCCTGCAACAGGGTAATTCTGTGCCTGCACCCTTCTGAAGGTGTTCCCCACTGGAAAAGACAGTGCACAGCAGTCCATAAGATCCTGTCAAATGCACCCAGGCAGAAGAAAATCAAGCATCTTTCTGGCTTCTAGATGAGCATTATTTCTTTTACAACTGATTTTCCTAGATAGCTATTTTATGCTGCAGGCCATCACTCTGACATCTGCATCCACCACATCTGCATCCTGTTCCTATTCCCTTCACAGTAAGTGCACAATATAAAATCTTAGTTCTAGTACACTCAACTTCCTCAGTGGAAGAATCCACCTTTCAGGCACAGCAGCTCTTCCCAGCTCCTTACACTGTTCCCTGTGGTGCCCTTCAAAGCTGTTTCCTGAGAGTGGCTACCCTTCCTGTACGACTTAAGTCATCCCTTTAGAACCACTTTTCTAGTTCTTCCAGCAGTAGGAAAAAGTTGAATAAAAGGAAACCTTGCTGACTATGCTACTTTGAAATGCATAGTTCAGGAAGCTACTAAGAAACTTGCTATACTTTGAATTTCAGAACCAACTGTCAGTGTCTCTTAATCAAAGAATAGAATGTGCAAATCAAAATATAGCTCTGAAAAGGATTTGGTGTTGTTGGCCACAGGGCAAAGTGACTGGTTTGTCAATGGAAGGGAGAGAGACAAAGGAAGGATTATAGGGTAAATACTGGCCCTTGCAAACAGTCTCAATCTGATATATTAGTGTTTTACATCAAAACACCACAGGGTGTCTATGTCTGTGTATATACACACACAGTGATCTTCTGCCTCCTCCCATGCCCCTTTATCCAATAGGGACACCTGAACACAAGGCCACCCAGAGTCTCACATATGCCATTTATTTCACCTTATTTTCACCACCGAGTCTTTAAACTAAATTCCAATATAAATATCCATGATGCTACTTTATAGATAGACTCATTTTATGAGCTTGCTTTTAAGGCTAGCAAAGAACAGGCCTTGGTCAACTCAGGGCAGGGAAAGCAGACCATCAGGTACATAACAACTACTGGTATAATTGGTATTTTCCATTTCACATTCAAAACGTACATCATGTTGCATCACTGCACTTTCAGATCTTTAACTGGCTTGTTAGTGGGAGGACTTCTGCCTTAATGAATATGAGGAAACAAAACTGATAACACAGCAGCGAGTGGGTTTCCTATTTTGCTGACACGATTGGAACAGTATCAAGTTCTACAGCAGCCTTGTTTCTGAAGCCAAGTCTCAGCGCTTCCTACTAACCAAAAATACCCAAGACAAACTACATTCTGAAAAGCAAACCAGTGCTGAACAGGCCAAGTTTCTGCTGTCTAATAATGTGGTAGCATGGAAGCAGCATGAACTTCCTTTACCCTGTAACAGACTTCACCCTTTACCCAAAAGGACCACCTGGTCTTTCTGCTGACATCTCTGTGGCCATGAAAAACACCAGTTTAAAGGGGTCAGACAGCTCACATATGGCTTTGGTAAAATGCAGGCACTAACTAAATGCCATTCCTAGGTGTTCCTCTCCGGCAGCAACGAGACTCTTAATAAGGTGGTTGGCTGGAGCAAAGCACAGATCCATAGTTAGTCCTTGGGCCTCCCACGGAGTGGGGCAAGGCTTAAGTGTTGTAAACAACCCACTGAGTAAAGCCAAGAAATACAACTCCGAGCCAGGAACTTGGGATGGGCAAGGAATGGGTTTCTATTTATGGTACCAGTCTGGGAGAGACAGAAAGGGAGGAGACTTCAGAGTCAGTGACAAAATTGCATCATGAACAGCTCATATGATATAAAAGGAAATATTTCAAGCCAAGCTGGTAGCACTGTCTTGCCTCAATTATCAAAATATATCTGACATAGAAAAGGTTTATAAAAGTGGCCTTTGGTATCAGAATGAGAAATATATGGAAGAACCTAAAAGTTCTCCATACACCTCACCTGTTAGGTACAGATTTATTTTGCAACTTCATAAAGTGCTGATACAATGGTTAAAGCGGTGGGTCTTTACCTAGAAGATGTATTTTTTGGCTAGCTTGACATAAAAATCCAAGGGAAAACAAGGTTTGGGGGGTTGATGTTACTGAATTTTAGTCAGTAGAAGGAGAGACAAATTGATCTCAATTGATTTAGTTACACCAGTGTATGAAGAATTCAAGATGTTTTCTGTCTAGTGAACTTCACAAGCTGTTAGTTATGTTGAGATTTCAAATAATTAAGAAACTAATGTTGATAGAAAGAACCCTGTCTTCTGTTTTTCTGGTACCAGTTATCCCCTCCCTTTGGTATTAATATTATCAAACAGAGGTGTCCCTCAGCCCATTTCTTTGCTCAGATGTCAGTGACACAACCATTTCTCCTGTTATCAACCCAGTGCAGCACTTCCCTATTTCTTCCTCTACTAATTTCTGGTAAAGAAGTAGCTTTTTGGTGCAGAATCCATATGAAATAAATCAAGCTTAAGCTCCAAAGTCTTCACTAGAAAATCTTCATTCATTCCTTGAATGCAAGATGCGTAAATCTCTTTATAGATCAATGTATAGGCTGTGAGTGAACCATCTACTGAAGCACTTGGTAGCTTTTCTGTTTTAAGAGAGAATATCCAAGTAGATGAAGTATTGATTGTGTTCAGTACAACACTGTTAACTCAATTGTCTGGCTCTCATTACCTTTAAGATTTTCTGTCCTCACAGAACTCTGTCAGGAAGGCAATTCTGGGGTAAATGCAGCCAGCAAAATGATGCAGGGGTTTAGATGCATTTAAAAAAAAACACTTTAGGGTGAGGAACTCATGTGAGCACAAGAAAGCTGAACCTAACAGTTGTTAAAAGGTACAACAGACATACCTTGTAGCAGATATTAGGAATAGTCAGAAGCACCAGAATCCACCCACAGTACCAGTCTGACTCCTTTAAACATGCCTCCTTGGGTGAGGAACCAAAACCCAACAGCACCAGAGATAATAAAAAAAAACACTTTCTCAAGGAAAGATATTTTAATGTAATTAAAATTAAGTACCAAAATCTACAACTGTAACCTCTGCAAAATCCTAAATATTGCATCAAAAAGCTTATTCCCTTAATTACTAAGGATTTTCTCAGCTCCTATAAAAGCATGCCAGCTTTACAACTGGGAGGATCTAGAAACAAGCAGAGACACCAGCAGCTGTTGATGCTCTGGATCACATACCTCTTTCCATTGAGTACTGAAGTTCCAGTCTCTTCCTCTGAATCCTGCCTACAGTGGACAGCAACTACTCCCCCAGTGATGGCTTTAGGGAAAGGAGTGCAATGAAGGAACACACGGATTTCAGAGGTGACTGGGAAACTGTAGCTCAAAAGTCTGTTTGACATTCTTTCTGTGTCGTGGCAAGTTCCAGTAAACCTCTCCAGTGTGAAGGGTGAGGAGGATTAGGTCACCCAGTCCTTCTCCAGGAAAGGTGGGATGGCCAAACATGACAACTTAGAGCAAGTCATTGAGCACTTTTTTTAAATCAGTACTTTGGGAGAGAAGTTGCTTAATGTGGATTACACTTCACTCCAACAGAATTCCTGAGGAGTTGT